ATCATAATGCAAACCCCCCACCCCCCACCCCCAATAATTAAATGTGTTCTATTTAATAACATCCTTGTAGCATAGATACTGTATCACTATCGACAGATTTCTTAGAAATGCTGCTATCTCTATTTAACTAACATTTTGTTCAGTTTTGCCTCCAGTGGAAGCAGAAAGGGTTTTTTCAGCTGTTAAATCCAAAATCAATATAATTTATTTATGTAAAAAAAAAAATCACGATTGATATATTTTTGAACCTTTTAAGTACTAACTTTCTTTTTATTCAGTAGAAGAACATGTACTTGCCCTAAATCCTTAAAATACAAATGCTATAAAACTTCATATATCTTCAAAGCCTTACTGTGAATGGATGCAGAAATCTCTTCAGAGTCCGTTTCTCGTTACGGGATGGTTTTTCCAGGGTTACACGTGTAAGGAACAGGGTTTAAAGTGAAATTTATTTAATTAGCCAGCATGCTCTATACCTTGTTCTTCCTTATCAGACATGTATGCTGCGTCTCTGGGTGTTTAGGCTTCTCTCTGACTGCTTCTTTGTGACCCTTTTGCAACCCGGTATACTCTGTGGATTATTTAGACTGTAAGGCGTAAGTGGCTTCTTCTTATTTTCCATCGTATCCAAAACAAATGCCAATTCTTCACGGTTTTCATGGCTACTCACACAAACATACATTCTTCACCGAATGTGCTAACAAAATAAACTGTCTGTGGTCTTGAACATGGATAAAAAGAAAAAGATTTAAAAGTCAGATTTTTATTTTTTTAATTTAGTGACTAGATGATGCTTATCTTTCAGACTTGGCAGAGCCTTGCTACAGATGTATATAATTTTTTTCAGCAAATATATGTGAATGTTTAATTCACCTGACTCAGTGATAAACGTTACTTGCCTTTTTCTCGGCACGAGTCCGTTGAGAAGCTGTCGAACCTAGCGGACCTCTCCCCTCTCCGGGGCCGCCCTTCGTGCCCCGGAGGCGTGCGTTGCTCTGGGGAAGGGCCGCTCGCGGCTTTTCCTGCGGCAGAGGGAGGTCAGCGGGCCAACCCCGCTGCGGCCAGCGACCCAACCCTGCTGCGGCCAGCGGCCCTCCCACCCGGCGCCGTCTGGGTTAACGCGCCGTGGCCCCGCGCAGGTTAACTTGCCCCCGCGCAGGTTAACTTGCCCCCGCACAGGTTAACTTGCCGTCCCGCCTGGCTTGCGAGATGGCTGGAGCAGCCCGAGCTCGGCGGCCGGTTTAAGCAGGCGACGGGGCACGGGGGCTCTGTGCCGAGCCGCCTGGCCCCGAGGACGGGTGGAAGCCCCAAGGCCGCTCGAGAGACCCCCGCCCCAGCCAGGGCCCTTTGCGCTTACGCGGCACCTCCCAGCAGGAGAGGGGTTCGGTTCCTCTTACCGAGATCCTGAGCGCCTCCATCTAAGCCTTGTAAACTGCTGCTGGGTGCCAAATAAATGCTCGTCATACATCTCAACGTAAGGGTCTCATGCTTTAGAAAAGTAGGCATTTAAAAGGCGCGTAGATGTGGCACGTAGGGACGTGGTTTAGCGGTGGACTTGGCAGTGCTAGGTTTGCGGTTGGACTCGATGATCTTCAAGGTCTTTTCCAACCTAAATGATTCTGCGATTCTGTATTAATTTAGTTTTTCAGATGAATAAACAGGTGCACAGGAAAAGCAAAATAATTTCTTTAAGGTCCAGGAAAAAGGCACAGAGTAAACCAAGAGTTTTTGCTTGCTCCCCTGCCCTCGCAGAAACGTCTTGTCCTGGCATTTTGTTGCTGCCTTTATCTGGGGGGAGAAACAGGAAAGCACCGGGCAGAAGAGGCATCAGATGCCGCTTGGACAGGGGCGGAGGAGGTGAAACGACGGTGTGAACTCCCAATTTCCAGTTCCCGAGCCTCCCTTTAAATTCTGGCTCTGCACACTGCAGCCTTCCACCCCGGCATCACTAATGCAGAATATTTGCTCGAAGGATCTGCAGAAACCAGGCAGCCCCTCGGTGCAGGGAGGAGCATTCATGCTGGCATTCACGCTGGGACGTCGGTGGAGGCCGCGGTGGGCTCGGTCTCGTCCGACGAGGTGTTGCTCACCCCTGGTAAGAAGGGAGTGGATGTGGTTGTGGAGGACGGGGCAGGCCCCTTCTCTTTGGGTTTTGTTTTGCAGGATACAGGTGCCCTTTCCCGGAGCGTGAGGGAGTAAAGCACCCTGCAGCTGCTCGTCTCTGCACCCCTGTCCCTGCCTGATTTTTGTCTCATAGGACACAGAATAGGAAAGTATCATCGCACATTTAGACAGGATCTGCCATTCTCTGTATGGTCGCAAAAAGGTTGTTCGCAGTTTCCATCAGCACTGAGCTGCGGCTGCGTTACCGCCCTAAGAGCAGGCGTTGCAGCTCTGGTGCATTGACAAAGTTACAAGCAAGGATTTGGGGTCTGACATCTCGGCTGGCAGTGAGCAGAGGGCAATTCCTCTACTGGCATTTGGTTTGCATCAAATAAAACTTGAGCTTTTTGGTGCCTTTCTATTTTCCACCTCTTCAGGAGCCACGTCAGCTCCAGGGCTGTGGAGCACGGGCTGAGTCACAGGAGACCACTCATTCTCAGCACTTTTTACAACTTTCCAGCAATATCGAGCACTTTACTGTTCGTGGTCCCCGAGTGCTGCGCACCACGCGTGCCAGCGCACAGCAGCCCGCGGCCGGCCGGGATGGCAGGGTGCTCGGCCACAGGCGCCGGGCAGCGCTGCCAGGCAAGGAGCTGGCCCAGCGGCCGGCAGAGCAGCAGCTCTGGAAAATCGGCAGTAAGGGAAACCCAGCTTCTCTCCCTGCCCCTTCCCAGCCATCCGCATGACGTGCCCTTCACAGCTTGCGCAGCCGGCCTGGGAGCATCATCCTCAGCCTCCTGCTGTGGCTTTTGGGGCGTTGGCGGTTTCACGGTGCAGCCGGGATGGCGGGAGGCCGTCGGCGCGGTGCCGAGGCAGCACTAATTCCTGGAGAACCCAGATTTCACCTCAAAAGGCATAAATCAACGCGAGATTGCCAGCCCAGCGGAAAACCAGTCCCACTCCCCTGTCTCGCCTCCTTTGCCCTCCTGAGGGGTTTTAACTAGGGGAATGGCTCCGCGGCTCCGCTCGCTGGCTCCCGCTGCCCCGGGGGCCGGACGGGGCTGTGAGGTTGCTGGTTTGGCCTGGAATCCAGTCCCAGCCTCGCTGAAGGCATCGCGTCGTGCGAGAGCAGCACCAGCGCTCGGGGGGTCAAGGCCTCGCGGTGGCCGTGGCAGCTGCCCCGCAGCGTCTGCACGCCTCTCCCGCCGCCTGCCGCGCGCTCGGCTGTTGGATTGTTGCCGCAGAAGGAGGCATTGTACAGGAATAGCCTGTACCACTTAGAAAGACAAAACACATTTTTACAGGAAAACCCCACGGTGACCCACCTTTCCCCCCCCCCGCCCCCCCCAGAAAAAGGGCAGCGATTTCTAACAGAGGAACAGATGCGCAAAAAGCAGAGCTCGGGTCCCCCCCGGGAGGGCACACCTTTGCTCCCGAAGGAGTACATGCGACTGCAGGACTCTGCGTAGCCGGGCACCAGCGATCAAATGCATTGCCGGGCTTTTCGGGGCCGCCAGGTTTCCTTCCCTTACAGCAAAGCGTTTTAGGAACGCGTCAGGCGCTGGACTCAGCCTGGATTTCAGGGGCAGTAACGGCGCCGAGCCGATGGTG